CTCTGTTGGCCATTTTAGTTAGCTTCTGCTGCTATTTGTATCTGTATTTCTATTTTATGTTTTCCTGTCTGCTGTGCATGTTTGTGTTCTTTTGTACAGCACTTTGGTTGGCCTTGTTGCTGTTTTAAGTGCTATATAAATAAATTGGTATGGTATGGTATGGTAAATAAATTTGAATGAATGTTACAAACGCATCAGCAACAAAAGTGACTAAAAGAAAGAGGGAAACATTTTCTCATTGTGAGCTCAAGGGTTAAACAGATGAAGAGATGCACCTTAAACAGGAGCAATGCCTGACTGTATCAGTTTGTTTGATTTATTTAAGGTAGTGACGCTGATGGTGCTGCTCCAACTGATGGCTGCAAAAGAAACTGTCCGCAGTATCAGAGATTTTTCAAAAGATTGCAACATGTTGGTTCAAATGCTGAAAACCGAAGCATCCACAAGAAATAGAATCTGCTCAGTTGTCCAGGTGAACACCGAGGTATCTGTAGTCCTTAAGTACCTGCATTTCTCCTCTTGACATGGAAATATTCCAGTTAGAGCTGAGCCAAGTGCTCTGATGCCATGCAACATCTTGCTCCTCCAGTTTTCTGTCCTCCACCTCTTGTTACAAACCCCACTGCTGCAGCATCATTTGATCATTTCTACAATGACAGAATTCAGAAAATACTGAGAATGCAATCCTCTACAGTGATTACAATTTTGGTAGTAATAAAAACAACGCGACCCAAACTTTATGCCGTATACATTCTCCATTCCTTAGAGAAGTTCACAACGATACTTGTAGTATCTTCTTGGTTCGGAGGAATGATATTGATATGGTCATGGTATAGTGGAGTTTGACTTTATTATGACTTTCATTTCATCTGTTTTATAACTTAAGATAAATGTAAACCTCTAAATGCAAGGAGGATTTAAAAAGCTTACCTTTTCCAATGATATGCAGTCTTTAAGTATCAATGAGGTAAAATTTCCTTTGCTTTTAGTGCTGACTTCTGTCTACTGTATTGTAAAGGATTATAAGAGTGTAGAATAAACTTAGGATTTAAAAAGCCAGCCCAAAAGGCTCTTACTGTGGAATGATGTCCAAAAAAGTTGTGCCTGTGAAGAAGTCACAAAGACCGCCCCACACACACACACACACACACACACCTACAACTTAGCTCTAGGCTTGCAGAGTGGCTTTAGATCAAATGAGTCATTCAGTCATCGTCATAAATAAATCACACCCACTGTGACTCCTTCCTACTCTGCAGCAGCCAAAACACATAAACGGACACACAAATGTGCAAACTCTCACCGGATTCACTTCATTTGTACAGAAACAGAACGTACATTTAACAGAGAAAGGCACGGCCTCTGTTTTGTTCTTTAAACCACTTTTTATTATTTGTCCATTCGTGACTGAGAGCCTGTAAAATGCAGCTCTACAGCACAGAGATCATATACAGTATAAGCTATAGCAGTTGTGAGTTTTTCCTCCGTGCTTTCACTTGTTTCCTTTTGGACAGGTGAGACGAAAAGCACAGTCCCCTGCTCTCTCTGCTCCTCAAGAAGACATTTGTCACTTTCCATTTTTAACACCCCCTCCGTCCTGCTCCAGTAAAGCAGAGTTCACGTCACCCTGAATTTCCCTGAGGCACACTGATGGCTACAACTGGAGACCTTGTCTCCCACACACGCAGCAAGAAAAAGTGACTGCTCCTCTTATGTCACTTTGTTTATGTTGCACAGACAGAGGACCTTTCTGATTCCCCAGTGTTGATCTTTTTTTTTAAAATCATATTCAACATTCACTCAATGCTGTGTATTCCTCTTTTATTTGTGCACATTTCCCACCAATTCACAATCTTATGTTACGTCAGCTTTCCCGATCTCTTGCTTTAGCCACGAGGAAAAAGCCTGTGAAATTTCCCACAGGACGATGCAACATGAGTTTGCTTCTACAATGAAGGAAATGGACTCGTTTCTGAAGCATTGATTTCCTCACAGCATAATGGGAAGGAGCTGCTACTGAGGTGAAAGCTAAGAGCCCAGTGGGTCGATATGTATTCTCATCACAACTCCGGATGTTCCCTTGATAGGTTTCAGTGTCCTGGCATGGGCGGTAATTCTCATTTGGTGACTCTATTAATTGAGTAGCATCAAACAGACGAAGAGAAATGACAGAGATTATTTGATTTTCATTAGGGATTTAGACAATAATTTGAAATATGCAGCACAGGAAATTGCTGTATAATGTTTGATGCAGCACTTATTGGGAGTGGCAGTTGTAAAGACAATATGTATACCAGGAAATCTAAAATCATTAATAGTAAATTGGTCACAATGGTAATAAAATTAATGGTGTAAATACAGATCGACTTGCAAATAATCAGCTTTCGGGTTTCAGGTGGATAAAAAAAAATAGCTTCAAGTTGTTTTATGTTTTAGCTTTTTAATAAAATTAAATTCAAATTATTAGATTTTTAATAGGCTACTTGCTGTTTTATTTTATTTTTGATTTGGTTTACCCCCTTTTGTTTCTTTTATCCAGGTTTTTTTTTTTATTATTTCCATAAGAATTTATGAATTTCCTGATATTTTTGTAATGCTTCTGTTTTTGATAGAATTATTATTATTCTCTTTTTGTCTTTCATTTATTTTGGGTTTCCTGCTCCCCTCCACCACCACCCACCCAACTACACACCCCAATCCCTCAGATTGTTCAACTCATCCCCGTACAGTATAAATAGAGCCTTGTAAATCTGCAGTACCCAGACACACTTTTGCATGTGCATGTATGTTTATTTACATGTACATATGCATATGTATAATGTGTGTATGCGCTTAGATGTGTATGTATGTATGTAAAGATCTGAAGCTCTCAACCTTGACCTCTCTAAGTGGCTTTAAGAATCTGTTGGACTCCTGGCAAGGACCAATGCAGACATGTTCCTGCTTTTAGTTTTCTACATTCGCCTTATAATCTAGCTGTTTTTGTTACTTTTTTTTGCCATCTTATTTGTAAAAAAAATAAAATAAATCTGTATGTCTTTTTATAACTGTCTATTGTTGTCACTGTTGTCCATTGTTGTCATCATTCTTTGTTGAAATCAGGTCTCTCTTGTAAATGAGTCTTCGAGGTTCAATGGGATTCACCTGTCTAAATAAAGGTTGAATGAAAAAGTATGTATATAAATGTAAGTTAATCATGAGTAGTACTATACCACCTTGTGCATGTGCATATTGTCTTTTTCCAAATGTGTGTATTCTGCTTCTTTATTTTATTTCATATGTCCTTTTTCTGTATAATTAGAACATGCTGCCTCAAATTTCCCCCTGGAATTAATAATCTTAACTATCTTGTGCCACCTTTTAGTTTTAATAATTGAATTTGGTTTGTATCTGCTGTCTTCAGCCTCTTATTCTTCACTTATGTCCTCATATAACAATAAACATTCACCAACTTTTAAAAGGTTCTGACAAGGTGATTCAGCCATAAAACCACATTTTTCAAAAGTTGCCTGTTTTAAATAGCTTCATTTAAAAAAGCACTAATTTTGTTTTTATTTTATTTTTACCACAGTGGACGCAATTAACCCAAAATAAATGCTTGTTTTATGCTAGATGCCCCTCCTGACACAACTTGGGTTCAAACCTGCAACCTCAGGATGAGACTACAACACCAACCACCCAGCTACCACAGTCTCCAAAGCACCATTTTGGTGTAAAAAGACCAGAAGTCACCCTTTAAACTTTCTGAAATCACTGTAGTTTCCACATTGTCTTTTATCTACTATTTCAGTGAGAAAATGGGCTTTGCAAGGTCATAACCTCTGTTTGTAAAGTCTGCTTACTATACAGGACATGTGAACAGCAAATATTTGAGTTTCCAAGGTTATTTCAGTCATGAGGCACCTGAAAATTTGTAAGAATGTGGCAAGGTTCTGCAGAAACTGAAGTCTTCCTGTCATTCTCAAGCACTGACCTCTGCCAACTTGCTTTTGCTCATTGAAGATGAGTTTTTCTCCACCTCCTGCAGAAGCCCCGTTAAAAACCTCCAACTCATTCTGAATGAATAGAGGAATTTTCGACAGGCTCCGTGGATCCACAGATCCATTATCCTGCAAAAATGCTCTTGCTGAGTGGCAACTTAAAGAACAGCAAATTCTGAGAGAATCAGTCTTCAGTAAATGCCAGCAACAGAGTGTTTCTGGACATGAGGGGAGGAATCAACTCTGTGGTTTTCCTGGTAATTGGGAGAATCTTGCTTGATGGTCTTGGCTGCTTTTGTGAACCCATGGATGGCAGAGGGAACATTAAGGAGTTGGGGAAGCCCAAATCACCTCACCTTATCTTCATCATGGTGGATGACCAAGGTTATGGAGACATCGGCTATCACAGCTCTGACATCAAAACACCATCATTGGACCAGCTGGCCACAGAAGGAGTCAAACTGGAAAATTATTATGTTCAGCCTATCTGCTCACCATCGCGCAGTCAGCTGATGACAGGACGGTGAGTATCTGAAATCATCTAATGTCGTTTAGTGTAAAAATCAATGGACTTTTGGAGAGAACATTCGGTACCACTTTACAATAAGGCTCCCCTTATAAATGTCTAATAAATAGTTTATAGATATGTTTTTAGTTCCTCTATAAACACTTTATAAATCATCAATACCTGTTTATTATGCATTAATTAATGGGTGACAGAAACTGACCAGTTTCTTGCCAAATAGTGAGCCAAATCTGTTCACCTATATATTTCATCTAGAGTTGTTATATTAAACATTTCAGACTAAGTCACTACCTTGTAAGCACAATAAGCATTTGTAAACCTATTTTTTATGATATATTATTAGTTGTAGATACAGTACTTATAATGCAGTGATAAAGTACTACATTTTATGCTAAAGAAATTGGTTTAAAAATGCTTACAAGGTAGTCTGAAATGTTTAATATAACAACTCTAGATGAAATATTGAACAGGATTGGCTCACTATTTGGCAAGAAACTGGTCAGTTTGGTCTCTCTGGTACCCTTAATTAATGCATAATAAGCAGTTATTAATGATTTCTAAAGTGTTTATAAATGAATTAATAACATATCTATAAACTATTTATTAGCCATAAGGGGAGTCTTATGGCTAATAAACAAACATTCTTGTATGCTGTATCACATCAAGGGAATACATTTTCCTCCTTTTTGTGAGGCAATAAACCAGTGATCCAATGCTTGTTCATATAAGAGCATATTCAAGACTTTGAGGCATTTTTAAATTTTGTTTTATTTTATGCAGTTAGTTACTTCATTAAAGTAACATTACATTTAAGAAAACATTAAATCTTTAAACTCTGAACAATGTGCATACCTTTCTAACATAATGTTTATATCCTTCTTCGATGCCAGTTACCAAATTCACACTGGGCTCCAACATTCCATCATCCGACCACGTCAGCCCCTCTGCCTGCCTCCAGATATTCCCACCCTGCCTGAACGTCTAGGTGAAGCTGGATATGCCACGCACATGGTGGGAAAATGGCACCTGGGATTTTGCAGGCCGATCTGCCTGCCCACAGGACGTGGATTTCAGAGTTTCCTGGGGACTCTGACTGGCAGTGGAGACCACTTCTCCTATCAGAGCTGTGACGGGGCTGAAGCTTGTGGATTTGACTTGCATGATGGAAACAGACCTGCATGGGAGATGAGGGGGAACTACTCCACTCTGCTTTACATTGAGAGGTGAGAGCGAATAAATCCACACATTCAAAGAGAGCAACGTAAAATATATTTAAACCTTACAATCTTCCATTTGTTGCAACAGAGTAAAGAAAATCCTGAGGAGTCACAATCCTGACACCCCACTCTTCCTCTACCTGTCCCTTCAGGCTGCACACACACCATTGCAGGTACCAGATAGTTTTCTGCGCTACTATGACTCTCAGAGCAATCGCCACAGGCGTCACTACGCAGCTATGTTGAGCTGCCTGGATGAAGGGGTTGCACAAGTTGTCAAGGAGCTAAAGACTAATGGGCTATATCAAAACTCAGTACTGATCTACTCAACTGATAATGGTGGGCAACCAATCTCAGGGGGGAGCAATTGGCCATTGAGAGGAGGCAAAGGAACCTACTGGGAAGGGGGTATAAAGGCTGTTGGTTTTGTCCATAGCCCCCTTCTGAAGAGGAAAGGTGTTGTCAGCAGAGCCCTGATCCATGTTTCTGACTGGTATCCTACATTGCTTGGACTTGCAGGGGCTCTGCAGTCACACCATGCTCTGGATGGTTATGATGTGTGGGGTAGTATCAGTGAGGGCTTGCCCTGTCTTCGCACTGAAATCCTATACAACATTGACCCTGTCTCCAGGAAACCAGGTGAGCCATATGACAAAGCGCTGGAACTCAACGGCTTTGGGATCTGGGACACAGCCGTAAGAGCTGCATTAAGGGTTGGTGACTGGAAGCTACTAACAGGAAACGTGGGTGACGGGGACTGGATCCCACTGCAAGCTCTTCCAGATGGTCCAGAACGATGGCAGAAACTTGAGAAGCGACGCAGAAAGCTGGGGAAGTCAGTTTGGCTGTTTAATATCAGCAGTGACCCATACGAGAGGTCAGACCTCGCAGAGGCTCACCCCGAGGTGGTGAAACATCTGCTCACCAGGCTGGCAGAATACAACCAGACTTCTGTAGCAGCCAACAATCCACCAGATGATCCCATTGCTGACCCAGAACTACATGGTGGAGTGTGGAGCCCCTGGCTGGGGCTGGAGGGACAGGGGAGAGATGATGAAGAGAAATATGGCAGAAACAACAGAATATTAAAAATCAAACAATGTAAATTATGCAAATTAAAGGCCCTGTTTAGGAAGGTGGGATCTCGCCTGCAAAGGAACACTCTATTCTAAAGATCTGATCTAATAAAACATTCCTTACAAAAATGATTCAGCAGAGTCTTGTCTGTATTTTTAAACCCCTTTAAGTTTGACCCTTTAAATATTGGCAGGAAAAAAAACTACAGAAAGGTTGGTTAAAAAAATTGACAAGTTTGGGAAAGCACAATGGCTCAGTCTGGACAATCTAAAATCCAAAGTTTAAAAGAAAAAAATATTTCAAGCAACTATATGTTGTAAGAAAATGTCCAGGCTTTTCTGAACTTAGCAGAAAATTTTTTGGTAAAAAAAAAAAACACAGTATTTTCTGCTGTACATGTCGCACCGCCCTATAAGTCGCAACAGTCCAAATATGTCTAATAAAGTGGAAAAATCTGTAAATATGTTGCTTTGCCGTATACGTCGCATCTTTTATGCATCACCGCTGACGAGTCACGTTTGTTACGCGTCACTGCTGAAAACCTGGAAATGTGGGCTGAACCCGGAAGCTGGTGTTGTGCCAAAAATCGATTGGCTGCCAAATGGCAGCTGCGGGAGCGTGCACGGAAGGACTTTAACAAGAAATTAACAAGATTAACACTTAAAAACAATTATTTGTTTACTTGAAATTATAGCAAAGGTGTGTCTCAGTCAAACTTTTGCTTAATAAATTAACTTTGACGGTCAAATCAGTTGCATTGCAAAACCTGATTCGCTGAAGCAGGCACGCGCACAGGGACGAGTCTCTGTGCATTTCTTCGAAATTTAACAAGATAAGCACATAAAAACAATTATTTGTTTGCTTGAAATTATAGTAAATGTATGTCTCAGTTTAACTTGTCTTTAATAAATGCACTTTGACGGTTAAATCAGCTGTATTTCAAAAGCCGATAACGGGAAGTAGGAATGCGCAGAAGGACGAGTCGCTGCTCATTTCTTCAAAATTTATAGAGAAAAACAACTGAAAACAATTATCTGTTTGCTCAACTTTATAGTAAAGGTGTGTCTCAGATGAACTTTTACTTAATAAATTCACTTCAGTGGTGTTACGATATTTCCTATTTAGACTGGTCCTATGGATTTGATCTGCTCAGAGACGGGATTATAATGAAATTGTGACCCGGTTCTGACTGGGTTAAACTGGGCCAGCAAACTCTTGAGGGAGTCTCCCTGGGATTTCAATATCTGTCAAGAAATAGTTTAATCTGCTTGCCACATCACGTAGGAAGGCTTTGAAGCACCGTCTCATATTTTTCCTAACACGTCAGTCCACATAAGACCACACTTAGTCACGCCCCCTCATACACTGATAGGCTGAGCTCCCCTTCTGCGAAAGGAGGAGTCATAGGACCCCATAAATTAGTGATGACACGGGACTTCGGGGCTCTTCCAGGTCTGTGTACGCGTGACACGGTCGGGAGAGTCCAGCGCTGTAAAACTGTAATCTTCTCCTGCCTTTTTTAATATAATTGATAAAACTTAATTGACGTTTCCTTGATTTATTGATTAATATAGTTGCTACTTCTGAAAGAGGTTCGAGCCGGGGGTGAGAACGTGGGCTGGAGGGGGTTTCCGATCCGGTGGCCCGTGGCCAGCTCCCGTCTTTAACAGGACACTTCCTGCAATTATTAAATCATATTAAGGGTGCATTCACACCAGCCCTGTTTAGTCCGCTTTAATCGAACTCTAGCTCGTTTTCCTAGAAAGTCCAGTTCGTTTAGGGAAGTGTGAACGCGCCATTGAACTCTGTCACGGAACAAAAAGGCGAACTCTGGCCCGGGCTAAAACCTAGGTCTCGGTCCGGTAGAAGCGAACTCCAGCGCGGTTCGAGTACAGTGTGAATGTAAACAGACCGGACCCCGCTCCGCAGGGTAAACAAACACGCATTTCTCTGACCTTATATGGAGCCGTCAGCTGCCTTGTGTGAAAAACAATATTCTCCATGGTCTTCTGTCTCATCTTCTGCTCATGCTAAGTCCATTTTTGAAAAATGACAAAATATAACTCCTAAAACTGCTAAAACTTGATGTCACTTCATTTTTATTTTTATTTACAGAAGAAGAAGAAGACGTGTCTTCAGAGGTTTTTGTGTCGTTTCTTTCAGTAGTTCTTGGTGCAGCGCCCCCACAGGCGAGCGGGGGAATAGGTTGGTTCCACAGGTTGACTCGACTGCACAGTGCAGTGTGAATGCAAAAGCACCAGCTCAAATGTAAACAAAAGGTCATGAATATTGGTCCCGAACCGAGTCTACCAGACTATCAGGTGTGAAAACGACCTTAGAGAACTGACTTAGACCAATGTTAGAAATTTCCATTATGTTATTGCTTTACACCAGGGGGAGGCTGAATTCTTAGGCAGATGTCCAGATGCTGGGTCAGGCGGCCTGAGGCTGGCAGGTCACAGGTTAGCCATCAGATCTGACATCTTATTTGACCTGAGGTGGTCGGGTCACACGCTGTAACCTGTAGGCATCTCCCGCCAACATATAAGGAGTAGTTTACATTCAACCAGAGGAAAGTGATTAATTGCTTGCTTATCTGGCGGTATTGAACTGGGAGTTTTTATGCAGGGGAACCCCTTCAGGGACCCTCGCCCAGGGGGAGTTGTTACGATTTTTCCTATTTAGACTGGTCCTATGGATTTGATCTGCTCAGAGATGGGATTATAATGAAATTATGACCCGGTTCTGACTGGGTTAAACTGGGCCAGCAAACTCTTGAGAGAGTCTCCCTGGGATTTCAATATCTGTCAAGAAATAGTTTAATCTGCTTGCCACATTACGTAGGGAGGCTTTGAAGCACCGTCTCATATTTTTCCTAACACGTCAATCCACATAAGATCACACATGGTCACGTCCCCTCATACACTGATAGGCTGAGCTCCCCTTCTGTGAAAGGAGAAGTCATAGGACCCTATAAATTAGTGATGATATGGGACTTCGGGGCTCTTCCGGGTCTGTGTACGCGTGACACGGTCGGGAGAGTCCAGCGCTGTAAAACTGTAATCTTCTCCTGCCTTTTTTAATATAATTGATAAAACTTAATTGACATTTCCTTGATTTATTGATTAGTATAGTTGCCACTTCTGAAAGAGGTTCGAGCCGGGGGTGAGGACGTGGGCTGGAGGGGGTTTCCGAATCCGGTGGCCCGCGGCCATCTCCCGTCTTTAACAGTGGTCAAATTAGCTGCATTTTGCTGGGCAGCGCAGTGAAATGGAGCTGATTTGACTGTTGCTTTAAGCGAGCTGGATGAAGGTGGCAAGTTGATTGTGCCATTGATAGCCACTTTTACCTATTACATGACACAATGTTACAATACTCTGCTTCCATCTAGTGGCTGAAAAATTGTAGTGTTCAATAACACAAAGTTTGTTTTCTCAGTCATCCAGGTATATAACAACAAAAAAAGTTGAATCATGTCATCTGGACTTCGTTTTTTTGTTAAAAAGAAACGTTTCGCCCCTCATCCAAGGGGCTTCGTCAGTCTGAGGCCTAGCCATCTGGTATTACCCAGAAGCCACCCTGACTCTTGTGTTTCAAGCCTGCCTCAGATACCCCTGAAGTCTGGCCTTTTCACTAATGGTTTCAAAAACACAAAGTTTGTTTTCTCAGTCATCCAGGTATATAACAACAAAAAAAGGTTGAATCATGTCATCTGGACTTCGTATGGTACTGGGGTATCTGAGGCAGGCTTGAAACACAAGAGTCAGGGTGGCTTCTGGGTAATACCAGATGGCTAGGCCTCAGACTGACGAAGCCTCTTGGATGAGGGGCGAAACGTTTCTTTTTAACAAAAAAACGAAGTCCAGATGACATGATTCAACCTTTTTCTGTTGTAGTGTTCAATATTTCCGTCAGAATGAATGAAAACGGTCATATCTCAGCCAAAAATTGCTTTATAAATATGGGAAAAATCCATAAATATGTTGCTTCGGCGTATCAGTCGCAGGGCATGCAAATTATGCAACAACAAAAAAAAGTGACGTATACAGCGAAAAATACGGTGTATCTGTTTACTCTTTGAACATGGCAATGCTCAGATATACAGAGCACAGTTTAAAACTACAAGTTGTGACAAAATAATATAAAAAATATCAGCTCATGGTAAAAAAAAATAGGCAAAATTTTGAACCAACTTTTTGCAGCAAGAATACTTAGTTTGGTTCTTATAGGTCAAGTACTATAGCAAACACCAGCTGAGCTGTATCTTTAGTTGACAAACTAAAGATTGAGATGTTTAATTTAGACTTTTTCATTCTCCTCAACATTTATGAATAAAATGTTGATTTTACTGATATATTTAAAATGTTTTACTTTCTTCTGAGAACATGGGGGCTGGATGTAAATCATCAAAGAGCCACTTTGAGGCTGTAGGTCAAATTTTACCCATGATTCATAGTGGCACTTTGGTAAACTTTCATATATCATGGCTCTACCTTGCTTGTGTATAAAAAAACAAAAAACAAAACTATAAATTGCTTTCAGTTGCAAACATCGTGTCATTTACTTTGTGTAGTGCTAATAAATTGATTTTTCAAAATTGTAAAAGAATCATTCATACCTAATTTGTTTATGTACCACCAGTTCACAGCAAAAAAAATAAAAAAAAAATAAATGTCAGACATAGTGACATCTAATCCAGAGGAAAGTGAAGACTGAAGAGAGACAAACAAAAATACAGATCAGCAGAAAAGCACAAGTCAAGATAGACTCAATAGAGCCGCAATTAAACACTGAAGGTCGGCAGATAAACAGGCAGCCTGAAAGATGAGCAGACATGGCTTTGTGTCTGGCTGAGGAGGATGACTCACCCTCTGTCCTGCGGCCAAACTGCAGCACACAGACCATGGACTGTCGCTGAACTGAGCAGGGAACAACTTGTGCGTCTCTGTGCATTTATTTCTATATTCGGGAATACTTTGATAGGAACAGATAGGGTTAGAGAGCATGCTTGTGGAAGCGAGGCCTGACGTGACCGCTCATCTTCTTATCATTAGAGAGGACTTTTTCAGGATGACATCCACCAGAGCGGAATGGG